TCAGTCTGGACTACGTATGCTTGTGTTCACTCTCACTCAGCGCTTCTGTTGGTAATTTGTGTTCATTTCATTACTGTTTTTTAAAAAGCGTAATCCCAAACATTTTAAACTTTGCGTTTCATTAAACATCATTATTATTTTTTGTTGCCCCGTAATCCTCTGTTACTTGCAATATCCTCTCTATTATCTGGGTCTATTTCGCGTCTATTGCATGATAATCTCTTCAATGTACTTTGTACTCGTACTTTAATTCACTCACTTCTGCTTGCTGCATTTCACATCAATTTTAATTTTTTTGCATTTAATTTATGTGGTTTAATTTATTTTATCATTTACATTTTAATTTAGCACACACAAAGTTTCGTCTTTAAAGATACGGCGGTAAAACAGGTCATCAAAGTTTAAAAACTAAACAATTTTATTTCTTTACTTTTACTCAAATTTACAAATTGCATAAAAATTCACACGCTTCTTTTCCGCCCCTTTCTTTCCTTCTTTTCCTTCTCTGTTCTCTTTCTTTCTCTTTCTCTTTCTCTTCTTTAACCTCTTTCTCCGTATTCTTAAAAAACTCACAACTCTATCTCTTGCCTGAAATAATTTCCTCCTCCTCCTTCTTAAATCCTCCAAAAATGCTTGCCACCAAAATGTNGATTCTGCCGGAGAATATGGCGCCCTTTGGCTCCTTTGGCGCTTTTTCAACTCAGGCCATTCTCAGTGGGCAGTTCCCGAGAGATCCGAATGAAAATACGCCCCCACCACCGCCTCAAAAACAGCAGCAACAGTCAACCTCTTCGGGAGCTAAATCCAAACGATATAGAGCCGGAACTGACAGTGAAGATGAGAATCTACCTCCTCACCAAGGAAGAGGAGGTGGAGGAGGAAGCGGGGCCCGCCAGAGAAGTCGTTCTCAGTCTCGCCATCAGCAGCAGCAGCAGCAACACCAACGGTCTGATTCGCTCAGCTCCCCACTTTCCGACCTTTCCGGAACCGTTCTGAGCAGTTCGAATCAGGTGGAGAGCAGCGGAAGTGCCAGCGGCAGCAAAACGGTCACTGACAGCGACTCAGAGATGTAAGTGCACGCCTCAATCTTATCTCCTCCTTTGACCTTCTTTGACCTTCTTTGACCTCCTCCTCCTTCTCCTCTGTCCTCTCTTTGTTTGTTTGTGATTTTTATGTTCTTGTTTTGATCCCCCTCTTTTGTTTGTTTGTGTGCTCCTCCTGCTTGCTTTTCCCATACTTCTAATACTGTACGGGTTGTGTGTGCCCATTTACTTTTTGATCCCCCTCTTTTTTAACAGTCCTTCTTATTTTATGTTTTTGTGTGTGTTTTAATTTTTTGGTTTTGTTTGTTTTTTCATATTGAATTGTTTTGTGTGTGTCTGTTTGTTTTAAAATTGCTTTGCTTTGCTTTGCCGCTTCCTTTGCTGGTAGTATTTTTTTATCAATTTTAGAAGTTTTTATTAATTTTACTGTAAACTTTAAAATGATATAAAAAGTTTAAACTTATTTTTATTACAAAAATTTTATATGAGAATTAAAAACTTTGTCATCTAAAAGGTTTTCAACAATTTTTATTTGTTTGAGTTAGTTAAGTTTTTTAATTTGCAAGTTTTAAAATTTATTTTCAATACTTAGCTAGTTTCATTTTTTATTAAAAAATTTAACTGTGTTTTTAACAAATATTTGCTCAATGTGATAAGAAATTTACTGTGTTAGTAGAAACATCATAAAAATATTTTTATTGTTAAGTTTAAAATTTTTTTATCAAACACTGATCAAACAGGTTAAAATTAAAAAACATCATTATAGTTAATTTATTTAAGCATTTTTCAATTAAATTTTAAATTTCTTCAGTTGGGGTTCCTGGTTTAACAGGTATACAACATTTAAAAATTACTTTTCTTTACTTTTAATACAAATGTAAGGTTTTAACTTATTTTCGTTGACACCGTTTTCCACTTTGAAGATCACACTTGTGATTTACTCATTTTGCCTGTGTGTGTGTGCGCGTTTGTGCGTTTGCAACCTGTTACAAAATTACCTTTACTACCGTTTTTACTACTAGTCACATCTCATCTTAAAGCTCATCGTCAAAACCGGTCACCAAAAATACTAACTCATCTCCTTTTCTTTTGCCTAATTAAATCTTTAATTAAACTAAACAAAAATAAAAATCACCAGCTGGATGCCAGGCGGAAACATGCGAGCCATGCAGAGCAGCGGCAGTGCTGGGGGCCTAGTCAGCGGCGGAAGTACCGGCGGCGGCGGGGGCGGNCGTTTGTGCGTTTGCAACCTGTTTAAAATTACTTTTACTACCGTTTTTACTACTAGTCACTACTCATCTTAAAATTTGCTGTCAAAACCGGTCACCCAAAAATACTAACTCATCTCCTTTTCTTTTGCCTAATTAAATCTTTAATTAAACTAAAAACAAACACAAAATAACCAGCTGGATGCCCGGCGGTAACATGCGAGCCATGCAGAGCAGCGGCAGCGCCGGCGGCCTAGTCAGCGGCGGAAGTACCGGCGGCGGGGGAGGTGGAAATAGCNGTGGAAATAGCAGCGAGGGCGAGTTTAGCAACTTTGTGGAGGGCTTAGGCCCGGGACAGATTGTCGGGCGGCAGGCGCTGGCCAGTCCGAGCATGGGCGACATTCAGCTCTCATTGCAAGTAAAACCGGGCAGCCTTGAAGTGGAAGTGGTCCGTGCCCGGGGCCTGACGCCTCGCAGCGGCTCGAGAATGCTTCCTGGTAAATTTAATGATTTTTTTGTTTGTAAACTGAGATTTTAATTTTTTCCTTTTTAATTCTTAGCCCCGTACGTCAAAGTGTACCTAGTTAAAAATCGAAAAATGGTCGCCAAATGTAAAACGCATCCCGCCCGGCGGACCTTAGATCCGCTCTTTCAGCAGGTCCTCCAGTTTCAGGAGAACTTCAAGGGCTGNTAGAAGTGGTCCGGGCCCGGGGCCTGACGCCTCGCAGCGGCTCGAGAATGCTTCCCGGTACGTTTAATTATAGTTTACCAGATTTTACATTAATTTTTTATTTTTATTTTTCTAGCCCCTTACGTCAAAGTGTATCTAGTGAAAAACCGAAAAATGGTCGCCAAGTGCAAAACACACCCCGCCCGGCGAACCCTGGATCCGCTCTTTCAGCAGGTCCTCCAGTTTCAGGAGAACTTCAAGGGCTGTCAGCTTCATGTAATGCTTTTAAATGATTTTTTTATTTTTAAAATTATTTTCTAAATTCTTTGGTTTTTATTAGGTGACCGTCTGGGGCGACAAAAAGTCCTTCATGGGCGTCNGTCAGCTTCATGTAATGCTTTTAAATGATTTTTTTATTTTTAAAATTATTTTCTAAATTCTTTGGTTTTTATTAGGTGACCGTCTGGGGCGACAAAAAGTCCTTCATGGGCGTCGTGCAGATCGTCCTCGACGACGTCGACCTCAGCTCCACGGTCATGGGCTGGTACAAACTGTTCAATGAGTGCTCTCTGATCAATCTGCCCAATGCCAAAGGAGGAGGTGGTCCTGGAGGATCTGGACATCCTGGATCACACCACGCTGGACCTAGTGGAAGAGGAGGAGGA